ATACAGCCGTGATCATTTTTTGTGTATCAAATAGACAATAGAACACACTTTCCATCATACAGTTTCGATTATAAAAAGCGGGAAAATGTGATTTTGTATTTCGAAACTATATGGTGGAAAGTGTGTTCTAATATTTATTTGATACTCAAAAAATTATCACGGCTGTATTTTTTGCTGATATATTACATACATATGTTCCATTTAGTTAAACAATATAAGAATATTGTAGTATGTACCACAAAAACGTATATTTCTATAAAAAATCATAACTCAGAAAAAAAAAATCTTCGCTATTAGAGATTTGGGTTGATTGTAGTTCAAAGTGTCCCTTTCCCGGTAAAAAAGGTGAAGAGAAAAAAAATACACTTTTTGAGAAATTAAATTTAAAACAAAATTTGCACTTTTTGTTTAATGTTAAATAAAAAATTTTAAATAATGAAAATCAATAATTATATCATGCTATCTTGAAGTGACAAGAATTACTGACATTTGAGTAAAAACATTGTTGGAATCTATTAAATTTTGACAAAGTTATTGGCATTTTAAAAAAACATTCTCACTGTCAATTCGAATAACCGTTTTTTGCCTGAAAAACAAAATCGCGTTTAATTCGGCCGAAAAATTTTTCCGAGCCAAAAGAAAAAATACGTATCTCATTATTTGGACCAACAAACAATGTATTTGAGTTTGGTCGAAATTAAAAATCATGCTCGTACCTGACCGGTTGTCTGGAAATGGAAAGCATCCACAAAAGACCCAAAAAAATCGATGTACTCCCGAAAGCCCCAAAAGTCCCGATATTAGTCTAAAAATCGCAAAATCAGTTCGCGAATTACGAAATAGTCCCGAAAATACCAAAAATCCTGAAATAGTTCCGAAAGTCCCAAATTTCCTAAATTAGTCCCGAAAATTTCTAAATACTTCCGAAAGTCCCACAAATTCCGAAATTCCTCCCGACAATCTCGAAATAGACTCGATGTTGCAAAATCCTAAATAAGTCCCAAAAATCTGAAAAATGTCCCAAAAGTCCCAAAAATACTTAAATTACTCCCGATAACCCCGAAATAGTCCCGGGAGTCCCAAAAATCCCTAACTAGTCACGAAAGTCCCAACAGTCCCGAAATTATTCCCGAGAATCCTGAAAACGCTATAAATCCGAAGTAAGTCCCTAAAATCTGGAAATAGTCCCGAGAATCCCAAAAACTAGCAATTAGTCCTAACAATCCAAAAATAGTCCAGGAGTCCCAAAAATCCCGAGAATTCCGAAATATTCCCGAAAGTCCCACTATTAACTCCGAGAATCTCGAAAGTCCCAAAAATCCCAAAACTAGTTCCAAAAATCCCTAAATATTTTGAAAGTCGCTTCGAAAATCCCGATATGAGTTCCGAGAATCCCGAAAATCTCAAACAAAGCTTCCGGGAATCCCTAAAGAATTACGAAATAGCTTCGAAAATCCCAAAATAGTCCCGAAAACCCCGAAATAGTCTTGAAAATCCTGATTTAGTCTTACGAATGTCTCAAATCCAGAAACAGTTCCCAAATTGAGGTGTGGTGTGTTTAGGTGAGGTGTGGTGAGAACGGGTGTAATGAATTCAACTGTGGTGAGTTAAGATTTGGCGGATTTTGGTGTACCAGTAGGAGGTGTGGTGAGTTTGTATGTGGTGAGTTAATTTGAGGAGAGGTGAAGTGAGTTGCGGTAAAGTAAGTTGAGGTGAGTGTAAGGTGAGGTGTTAATTCTCTAACTTTCTCCTAAATTATACAGTATTTAGTTTGAAAGTATTTAGCCATCAACTAAATACCTTGGTACTTTTGTGAAAGTATTTTGCATCCCCAAGGTACATGAGTACTTTGGACCAGAATATTTAATTCTTTAAACTAAAGTTATAAAATCGGATTTATTCCCATCGGATTCATATTTACTAGTTGATATCCATTATTTTTATTTTTTTTTTATATCGCGGAGAAACTTCAAGCTTGAGAAACGTTCTATGGAGTTCCCCTTTTCTTAACCCTTAATTCTTTAAACTAAAGTTATAAAATCGAAATTCGTCATGATTAATATTCGATAAAACTAAACCACTTTCACTTCAAGCTAAACTTATTTCAATAACCTTCAGTATGCCCATAATTTTGTTTTTAAATTAACTATGGCAAGGTATATCAAAGAATTTGTTTTAGCACTCCTTATAACGGATCAGTGCACCGAGCGCTGTCAAAAACTTGAGTTTTTTTTTTTNGTTGAATTATTACTTTGGTCACCCGCAAAATGGTGATTTAATCTTAATGGTTTGAATTTCGTCTAAGTCATCATTAATATATCAACGAGCAAATCATACAAGTTTTCTTTTATTCCCGGTAAGTGATCTACTTCAGTTACATATACAGTGACTCAAGCAAGTGTTCACATGTTGATTTTTTTAATGTACACAATATTTTCAAGTAACATTTTTTTGTTATTTTGTATAAAAGTTTTGTTAATGGTGCATTTACATGGTATGAATCTTTTCATAAGCCGTATGAATTTTCCTATAAAAGAAGCACCAACTCTATGAAGTAATGAATGAAAGCGATATATATTTAACAATTTCGACTTATATACTTGGCAAATATTTTTTTGTAAACAACAATCAAAAGAAGTTAAAAAAAATTTAATTTTGTGCTAACTTCGAAACTAGAGCTAATATTTTTGTTATGTGCTTTAAAAAGGCCCTACTGCCAATAAAGCCTTGCGGTTTGTTAATTTTTCGAATGTGTAATGCTTCCATTCAAACATCTTTGTGGATAAACAGTTTTTTGTTCATAAATTGCTTGTTTACGTTTTTGTCTTTCATATTAAACGTTTGGCATAAGTTGAAATCATAGGGATGCCGTTTTCTTTCGTTTCTTAATGGAGTTTATACTTGAAAAGGCACCCAAATATGAATGCAATACTTTTACATATCGTCATTTAAAGTACAAAACCGCGCATCAAGAAAATGCAAAACCTTGAATGTGAGGTTGCCTAAATTTTATAGGAGAGAGTAAAACTTGTCATAATTCAAAACGGTTCTCTCTTTTAAACTTAATTATCTCTTCTTATGTCTAAGTATCGAAATTTTAGTATAAATGATTAAGGGCTTCCAGTGAGCAAATATTTTTTTTTGGCACAAATGTCCGTTACGAGGTTTTGCAGAACCACGATATACGCTTTTGTACTTTAAACGACGATATACTGATTGGCGCTTACACAATATGTTAGTGTTTGGCCTAGCTTCTCCTCCCATATGGGGCATGCGCCTTGATTTTGTCACACAAAGGGGAAGGGCAGTTTTACGCCGACTCCGAACGACAATTGTATTTTTATGAGAAGCTGTTTTCATGACAGAATACGCTCGGAGGTTTACTATTACCAACAGAGGGACGACGGCGAACATCGGAGTGTATATATGTAATATAAAAAAGAAAGAGAGGTACTATAAGAAAATGTACCCGAAATTCAGGAGCAAACGGAAAAATGCTCAGTGAAAATAACTCACATGTACAAATAAATAAATATAACTTAAGCGGTTACAGCGCTAAACAAAAGGAAGAGTTAGAAAAAATAGCAATGCGGTTTGAAGGAAACATAAGAAAATAAAATGTTTGTTTGTTGCGTTAATTCTCCTAACGTTTTAGGATATGACATTCCATTCTTTGCATCAGTTTGCAAATATACACTTATTGTTCTACAATGGCAACCATTTTCGTGGGGAGTTTTTTCTTTAATTTCGAATTGAAAATACATTACGATCATATTGTACCTAAATAAGTGTGGTATCCCTGCATTTTGTAAAGGCCAGAAAGGAGCATCAACTGTATGAAAAAAATGAAAGGGAGAAGTGTACATGCCTTCTATAATTTTGTCTTATATGTACATATATTTGGCAAGTCTTTTTGTAAACAACAAAAAATACACATTTTCGTTTATTTGCCATCTTGGAAATTTTTGGAATTTTTACTTAAATGTGATATAAAGCTCATTAAAATGTTGAGTAATGTCTTATTGTCATAGTGCTTTGTATTTATATTGTCCAGCATACGTGACTTGCTTCTATTGAAAAAAAACTAGTACAAGGATTTTGTTTGTTTTGAAATTGTTTGTTTATTGTTTTTAATTTTTAAAATTTTCTACTTTTGACATGTATGTGACTGGCGGAGTTGCCGCTTTCCTCCTTTTCGGTGGGTTTCATATTAAAAAAGGCATCAAAATGAGAAAAAACCTCCGTGTATCTCTGCATCTGTTAAACTTTTTATGGGAAGATGTATGAAAATCCAACTTGCTATAACTTCATATGCTTAACAGTATCACAACAGTATGTTTACAGTATCTCCATAATTTTTCATATGAAAAAATTTATTATATGCATCCCGCTCGATATCATTGAATTCCTCATTAGAACATGTAGTCCCTCTATTTTAGCGTATCTGGGTCGTTCTTAAAAAACATGACCAATTGGTGTCCCCAGACTTTACTATTTTATATTTTGTTTCTTCAAAAAGAAAATAGAAAAATATCTGCATTTTTATAAATTATTATCGATTCTACGTAACTATATTATAAAAAAAAAATAATTAATTATCTGAAAATAACTTAAAAAATATTTTCAATGTCAAAGGTTTAGCAAAAACCTGTGTCCCGAGCCAATTTTGTTGATACCATCCGTAACCACATGAGGCCAATTATAAACATATTTGGCCAACTTAATTTTTAAAAATTACAAAATTCAGAATGGTCATGTTTTTTAAGAACGACCCATCTACAGTGCATATGGCTTCATATCATGTAAATGCACCATAATGTTTTATCCAAAGACATATAAATCAAAGCTTTAAACTTTATACAAAATTATTAAAAATCAACGTGATTTTATAGGCTCTTATAAATTGTACTTTTTCCCCAAAATGGGCTGTAAAACTGCATACCCAACAATTTTCTTAAGATTTAGATTAGAAGGTTCGAAATTTTTATGAAAATTAGTCGAATTTTTCTAAACCTGGTATTTGTTAAAGCATGAGCAATATTTTTGTAACAAAATTACAGCAAAATTTTAACATTTAAATCATTGTATTAAAAAAAACAACGGGAGAACACTTGTTTGAGTAGCTGTATGTGGGGCAAAATTCGTCAAGTGTACCAGGAAAAACATTTTATGGCAGCATTTTGTTCAAACTCCACCACGTTGCTGCTATGGTTACTGGTAACCAATGTGTAAAATTATTTTTTTTTCTACCGCGGTTTTTTCGCGTTATACGAGTTTAAACATGCAAATTTCAGCCCCTTTCCATCATAGAACGTATTGGGGCCGCCTTTGTTTCGATGTAGTTAGCCAGTCGCATCAATTTGTGTATAAATTTTTATGAAGAATTTTCCACTGAATCCAAATACGAAATCGAAAAACAAAAAAGTAAAACAGTTTTTGAGATTTATCCAAATCTCGGGTTTTTGGGATCTGAAAAAAGTGCACTCACTTAATTGCAATTTTCTTGGATGTAGTTGGCCAATCTTAAATTTCTTTTTGTATTAGTAAAGGCTATTAAATTTGCTATCATATGCGTCAACAAGATTATCCAACTGGATAAGTAATTTGTATAAATTTTGGTGCAAAAACAAATTAAACGTTTACAATTTTACGTGTACAAATATAAGTGCTGAGAATTAAAGCAAAGAGAAAATGTAACAGGTGACACGCTGAGTAATCGCGTCTAAGATTCTAGGTAAGTCAGGTCTAAGTCTTGCATAACCCAGCTTTAACTCGACAAAAAACGCTAGAATTTCCTTTGGCTTTTTCTGAAATACATTTCGCCTTTTCTGAAATACATTTCGCCTTTTCTGAAATACATTTGAGCTCTTCTGAAATACATTTGCCCTTTTCTGAAATACATCTGAGGTTTTCTGAAATACATTTGAGTTTTTCTGAAATTCATTTAGCCTTTTCTGAAATTCATTCATACTTTTTCTGAAATACATTTGTGTTTTTCTGAAATACTGTTGGAAAAGGTGTAGTGTAAAATATTTTTAATAGTACATTTGACGAATTTTGCCCCATGTATAAGTACATACATAATTTTATTTATTAACTGAACATTTTGGTTATACCCACTCACTTGTAAAAATCCCGCAGATACTAATATCGGAATCACGTTATTTGCATCTAGGTGTGGTAAATTTTCTGAGCCTTCAAAAACAGTTTTTCTACAACCAGTTATTTCTGCAGAATCTGTTAATTTCATCCACTTTATGAGCCAGTCAAATATCTGTATGTCACAATGCACCGAAATATCCACTTCCTCAAGTTTTTGTCCGGCTGTAACCTCGGCAAAGTATCCCATTTTATTTACTAGTAATCTCTGCGAGCAAATAAAGTCCCTGGTGATATTTTTAACCTCATCGCATACGTGAATAACGACTTCTGATCTAAAATTGTCTGTTTAAGTTTATCTGTTAAAAAGAAAAAATCTGTATACCGTACTCCTTTTTATCTCTTTTTGTCGTCACCAACTTCTTCATAGGTATAGCATAGTGAAGAACTGTCTGGCAACTGGGTTCATTTGCTGCAATAGTGCACTCAGTTTTATGAGTTACTGGGTGACTTTTATTCGCCTGGTCTGAATTATTCGCATCCATAGGTATAACTTTAGGAATAAGTGGTTCCTTAATTTTTTGTTTAGATTTTGTATGATGGTGAAAAGATGCCGGGACTGGTATTGGACATATAAAGGATAGCACTGAGTCAATCATGCCTTCATTAATAACGTAATCCAATTTGTTGTATAACTTCAATTGCATATTTTCGCTTTGAATTATTCCGCAATCCATTTTCTTGAGCGTTTGCTGAGTAAAAGAACTAATAGCCATTCCTACAGTGCTTCGCCTTTGAGAAAGATTATCTTCGTTGTTTATATCGCTCGGGAAAGCACCGCCATTTTCTAAGGCCTTTGTCTGAAACATGTTATTTTTAAAACGCCTACCTAAAATATCTTGAAATAGTTGATTATCTACCATTTTTTCTAAATTTAAATCTTCATTTGCAGCATTCGAATGAAAATCTTCTGATGTACTTCTTCGTACAAGCTTTTGTTGATTACTTTTCACTGATATAATGTCGTTAACGTGGCAAGAAACTTTCACGAAATCTAAAAATTTGTTGATGCTGATGTCTAGATTTGCACTTTCTACTTCTAACTTGCTTCTAGAAACCGCCTCTATTAAATTATTGCCATCAGCCGATTGTTCGCCAATAATCTTATTGATTGCATCTTGTTCTACTTTTCTGGAATTCATTTCTTGAGTTTATAAGACTTGGTTATAAGCAAAATAGATTTGGAAAAGCGTTGTACATACATATTTCTGACAAAATAAACAAATTTGGTTTCCCTTGGAGATCAATAACCTGTGTAAATGCCAATTCAATCGGAAAATGTAATGGCGCGTTTACATGGTATGAAGCCATATGAACTGTTGATACGCTAAAATAGAGGGACTACATGTTCTAATGAGGAATTCAATGATATCGAGTGGGTGCATATAATAAATTTTTTCATATGAAAAGTTATGGGGAGATACTGTAAACATACTGTTGTGTTACTGTTAAGCATATGAAATTATAGCAAGTTGAATTTTCATGGTGCATTTACATGGTATGAATCGGTTCATAAGCCGTATGAATTTTCCTATAAAAGAAGCACCAACTCTATGAAGAAATGAATGAAAGCGATATATATTTAACAATTTTGACTTGTATACTAGACAATATTTTTTTTGCAAACAGCAAATAAAAAAATTTTATTTTGTGCTAGCTTCGAAGCTAGAAGCTTATTTTTTTGTTAAATGTGCTTTAAAAAGGACCTACTGCCAATAAAGCCTTGTGGATTGCTATTTTTCCATATTTGTAATGCTTCCATTTAAACATCTTTGTGGAAAAACAGTTTTTTGTTCAGAATTGCTTGTTTACGAAACGTTTGGCATAAGTTGAAATCATAGGGATGCCGTTTTCTTCCGTTTCTCAGTGGANTCCGATATTCGGCGTGCGTGATTTTGTCACACAAAGTAAAGGACAGTTTTACGCCGACTCCGAACGGCAATTGTATTTTAATGAGAAGTTGTTTCCTTGACAGAATACACTCAGAGGTTT